TCAGTGAAAAGCACGCCCCGAGGCGTCCGAGGCGGGAGGCGGGTCTGTGAAACTCTGCGCGGGGCACGGGGTGGCAATGGAGGCCTCCTCGATGGGGTCCTGGAGCAGTGGTCGGAGGATCGCGCCGCACCGCCGATGCATCGGCGATGTATCGGCGTCGGGAAAAACGGACTCCACATCGAGCCGCATCGCCGATGCATCGGCAATGTAGCGCGATCATCCGACCCCTCTGCGGTTGGTTCCTCTCGTGACGACTTGCGCGTTGGTTTTTGACACCGCGTGGACCGTTCTACCCTGAGCGATCGCAGCTTCCCGACAGAGAAGACAAGTCGATGCCCGCGGGTTCCAGGCTAGGGGCGTTCAAGCTCGAGCGCCCGTGCTGCGGTCGCCGCCGCGTCGAAACGACACGAACCCGTCCTGCTCCGACCCCAGCTGGGAGGCCTACAGTAGACAAACTGCGCAGGGCACGCCTCCCTCCCTCGAGCCTCCAGCCATTCGCAGCCCTGGCGCGCAAGCAGCCGCCTGCGGTGTGGCGGCCGAGGCGCAGGCCGTTGCTCCGCGCGCTGCGCCTGCCGCGCCACGAGGCTGCGGAGGGCGGCGGCCCAAGGGCAACTTCTGGAGCCCCTCGGCAGTGCCTCTGGCGCCGCCCCCTGGGGCGCTCCGCGCGCCCGGAAGGGGGTCCAGCGCCGATCCAAGAAATCGGCGCGAAGCTCCAAAAGCGGGGCTGGAGCAAAACCGCTCCGAACGGCCATGGGGGAGAAAGGTGTCGGGCTCAAGCTGGGGTCGCGCCTTCCAGAAGCGCGGCCGTGGGGAGAAGTGGGAGGGGGCATGCCTTCTCATAGGCGGCGGGGCTGCTCGGAAGCCCTCGCGCCTTCTGGGAAGTATTATCGGCCTTCTCCGAAGGCGCTCCTCTTGAGCAAGAAGCGGTCTGTATTTCAGCGTCTTGACTGTTGGTCCCCGATAGCCAGTCTGTGGGCAGGGTGGGCTGTCAGACACGTATCGGCGATCAATGGGGGTCGATGCATGCCCCCCTGGGCCCATCCTGGATCCTGGTGATGTGGCTTCGCATCATAAGTCGGCGGAAGAGTTTGGATGCACGAGTTGGGAAATTTGAAATCTGGTTTGAAACTGAAAATACTAGCCCACCAAAAAAGAAAGCTTGAAATCCATGTTTAAAACTGTTTGCTCGCCCAGAGAAACAACCCTGGTAAAAAGTTGCAAGTCTAGATGTCAAACATCCAGCGCCAAGAGTGGAAGTGCTGGTAATAATGAAAGTTGTAGTCATAATGGTAGTGGCGGTCGTAGGGTATCATAAGATCTATAGTGTTTGGACGTGTTTGTAGGGCATCATCAGATATATGATGAGGTGATGTATGCGTAACGCATCGTGATTTATATGATGATGTAATGTGTGTTCAGTTATGTAATAGTACGGTGTATACATGTGTGAAGTGTCATAGGTTCGATGATGTGATGTCAATACATAGGGCATCATCCAATCAATGAAGATGGTATGTCTGTGATAGCAGACAGCATATGGTGGTGTTATACATGTGTAAATGCCACATGTCTACGCATACCGCATAAGATTCACAATGATGTGAAGCACATGTATGGTACCATGAAAACCCTAACGGTGTTATATGCATGGTGTCACACGATGTGTCGTGCCGTGCTACTACATAGTGTGATATGTGATGATGGTATGGGATGACGTGGACAGTGTGTGTGTGATACCATAAGCTCTGCAATGACTGGTGTATATATATATATTGTCCCACAAGGTGTATGCGTGTGCGGCATATGTATACATGTATGACAGCATACTGTGTGCTATAGATACAGACTTGTGGCATGTTTATGACATGCATCTGGCATGTGGTGTTGTGGCATATCTATACGTGCACTGCACAGCAAGATATACGATGGTGGCCTACAAGTACGGGGCCATAAAACATTGATGACTATATTGTACATACGTACGGCATCATGAGGTATATGGTGTTGTGGTGCATCTATATACATCTATATACGTATATGATATAATAAGATTACGGATAAGTACGATACCCTGCCTGGTAGCCAGATACTTGTGAAACTTGTGCTGGGAGAGGGCCCTTCGTGGGAGCATGGCCAATGCGGCCTTCCGTGAAGCTCTCTATGGGAGGCCACGAAACGCGGGAAGGATGTGCCGACATGGGCGAAGACCTCTCATGCGGACGTGGCCGTTGGGGGACTCGATGGGGTCACTTACGGGGTGATCAAACGCGCGAGGGTGCCGAAGCAGACACATGCGGAGGGTTAGGGAAGGCGGGGGAAGCGGGGGCAGCGGGAGTAGGGGGAGACACGGGGCGCTGCGAATTCGAAACAGACACCTAACTTAACACAACATGGTTTGCGAAAAATCGTCCGAAACGAAAATCGCTACTCCGCCTGTGGCGAGGGAGACAGAAGAGGGAGGAGGGGGGACGAAAGAGAACTAACACGAGAGGCGAGGCGGGGGCAGGAAGAAGGATACGAAAACGAAGAGGAGTGCGCAAGGGAGAGGCAAGGAGGAAGTGGTAGAGGCAGGGCGAGGTGGAAGTGGAAGCGACGGTAGAACAGGAAGTAGCAGCACAAGTGGCAGAAGGATGAAGAGGAGGAAGAGAGGAGAGGGGAAACAACGGAGGAGGATGGGTTAGGAGGAGGAGGAAAAGGAGAAAGTCAAGTCAAACGTGTTGGAGACGACTCCGAACGGCAGGCCACGAAGGCGCGATAGAACGAGCAATTGCGTCTAATTTCAAGTAGCATGCCCATGATTCAGAGGCTGGAGAGGAGGAAACCCTGGCGGATAGGATTAGGAAGAGAAGGAAAATGAAAAAAGGAGGCAAAGCACAAATACGAAGCACCCTGCAGTCGCGGATAAGAGTGAAGGGGTGGCGAGGATGTCTGCAGTCTGCGAGGCTCTGAAGAAGCCCGCCGCAGGCGCCGATTTTTCGTTAAAGCAATGTGGGTGGGTTGAGGGGTGGATCGCGGGTGGGTCGCGGGAGTGTCGCGGGTGGGTCGCGGGTCGGGTCGAAGGTGGGTCGCGGCCATCATCATCATCATCATCATCATCATCATCATCATCATCATCATCATCATCATCATCATCATCATCATCATCATCGTCGTCGTCATCCTCATCATCATCATCATCATCACAATCATCATCATCCTCATCATCATCATCATCATCATCATCATCCCTCATCCATCACCCATCACCCATCACCATCCATCATCATTATCATCAGCATCACAATCAACATCAGCAGTATCATCATCAGCATCAGCATCAACGTCTTTACCATCATAATTGTCATCATCAGCAGCAGCATCATCATCAACGTCATCAAGATCTGCATCAGCATCATCACCATCCTCGTCATCACAATTATCAGCATCATCAGTATCATCTGCATCATCATCACCACCACCACCACAGTCATCATCATCATCATCATCATCATCATCATCATCATCATCATCATCATCATCATCATGATTATTATCATCATCATCATCATCATCATCATCATGGTCATCGTCATCATCACCATCATGATCACCACCACCACCATCATCATCATCATCATCATCACCATCATCATCGACAGCATCATCATCACCATCATCATCGCCATCATCAGCATCGTCATCACAGTATTCATCATCATCCCCATCATCATCATCATCATCATCATCATCATCATCATCATCATCATCATCATCATCATCATCCTGCATTCTGCATCCTGCAGCCTTCCATGTTCGTGCCCGCATCCTGGACAATCAACCTCCGCGTCACCGGTGCCATCGTCAAAATCCCCATCGTCATCATCATCGTCATCATCATCAGCTTCAGCATCATCATCGTCATCAGTATCATCAGCATCATCGCCATCATCATCATCAGCAGCGTCCTCGTCCTCATCCTCATCCTTATCAGCATCCCCACCAGCATCATCAAAATCTTCACCATCAGCATCATCATCATAATCACTATCATGACCACCCGCATCAACAAAATCCTCATCATCACCCGCATCACGATCACCATCATCCAAAACCATCATCAGCAGCAACAACAGGATCAGCATAATCGTAAACACCACCTGCATCCCCATCACAACCATCATCAGCATCACCATCAGCATCATCGTCGTTGAGAGATCCGCCAGCATCATCAGAAATATCATCCCTTCCAGGGCCATCACAATCATCATCGAAATCAGTTCGGCTACCATCATTGCCATCATCATCTCATCATCAGCATCATCATCATCACCATCATCGTCACCATCATCATCACCACAAGTATCATGATCATTAGCATAATCAGGAACATAACCACCCATCATCAGCATAGCCATCACCAACACGGCCACCATAATCACCGTGATATCCACCATGATCATTACCAGCATCATCATCATCAGCATCATCACCACCGCCATCATCAGCATCATCATAATAAGCAGCATCATCATCATCCTCATCCTCATCATCCTCGTTGTCAGCATCATCCTCACTGTCAGGGTCTTCATCTTTTTCATCAACAGCATCATTAGCATCATCCTTATCATCATTATCATCATCATCAGCAGCATCATCATCAGCATCATCATCAGCATCATCAATATCGCTACCGCTGGTCTCCGTCCCCCGAAGTGCTGAGCTTGCAGTGGCGGGACTGGCCGCGGGCAGCTGGGCATCCTCTACAGTTCTGTGCAATGTTGTAGGGGAGGAGTTGGAGCGGACACGACTGCACCATGACAAACCCGGCGACATCGCTGCTCTCGTCATCGTCACCGTTCTCTTCATCATCGTCAGCGTTATCATCGGCGTCATCGTCACATCCATCATTGTCGTCATCACCAGTGCGATCGTTATCGTCGCAATCTCATCCGAATTCCTGAAGGAACGCATCAGAAATCCTGAGGTATCCCCAGGAACCCGCAGGAATCCTTCATGCAACCTCAGGAACCTTCAGGAACCCTTAATGCATCCACAGGAATACTTCAGGAATCGTTTCAGGAAGCCCGATGAATCCTTCAAGAATCTTCAGAAAACCGTGGGAATCCGTGGGAAATCCTTCAAGAACCCTCAGGCATCCTCAGGCACCCTCAGGGACCCCCCAGGATCCATCAAGAAATCCGAAGGAATCCTTCCTGGAATCCTTGAGGGATCCACTGGAATCCCTCAGGAATCTTCAAACAATCCCTCCTGGAATCCTGTAGGAGTGTTGAAGGGTCTTCTTAAAACCCCCAAGAACCTTTTGCGGATCCTCCGGATTCCTAGCCAGGTATCCGTTGGGAATCCTCTGGGCCCTTCCCTCAAGAATCTGTCTGAAATCCTCCTTCAGGACCCTCAGGACTCCCTCAGGACTCCTTCCTTCAGGATCCCTCAGGAATCTGTCTGGAATCCTTCGGGGATCGTCAAGAAACCCATTAAGAATCAGCAGGAATGATCAGGGATCCTTCAGGAATCCTCAGGGATCCTCAGGAATCCTCAGAAACCCTCAAGAAACCGTAAAAATCGTGCATGCATCCTGCAAGGATCGTTCAGAGATCCTCAAGGAATCCTTCAGGAATAATTCGGGGACCCTCTGGAATCCCCAGGATTCCTTCAGGAATCCTCAGGAACCCTCACGCATCCTCCGGAATCCGCCAGAAATCCTCCGGAACCCACAGGAATGTCAAGGAATGCTCCAAGATCCACAAGAAGCCTTAGGAATCCACAGGGACCTTGGGGAACCCGTCGAAATCCGTGGGGACCCTAAGAATCCTTCAGGACTCTGTTAAGAATCGGTCAGGAATATTTCAAAAATCCTTGGGGATCGTTGGGAACCCTGAGGACAGGGAGCCTCAAGGAACCCTGTAGGACACCAACAAAAAAGTCAGGAGTCGCAGGGAAACCTCAGGAATCCCCCGACATCTCTCAGGAAGCCGCAGCAAATTGCCAGGAACCCAGAGGAGTCCTTCGGGAAGCGGAATAGGAATCATCAAGAATCCTTCAGAAATTCTTCAGGAATCCCTCGGAATCCCTCGGGAAGCCTTCGGGGATCATGTCTGGGAATCCTTGAGGACTCCGTCAGAAATCCTTCAGGAATCCTTCAGGAATCCCCAGGTTTTCTTCAAGAAGCCCCAAGAATCCGACAGGAATCCCTAGCCATCCTGAGGAATCCTCAGGAATCCTCCCGAATTCCTTCCCCGCACTTCCGAAAGAGCCTTCTCACACCAACACCGACGACGACGCACACGCGCCACGAACAGACCCCGACACCCCAACAAAAACCAAACCCAACAAGCCACGGAAACGGAAACCGAATCCAACAAGCTACAGAAACGGAAACCGAACCCAGCAAACCACGAAAAAGAAAACCGAACCCAACAAACCACGGAAACGGAAAGCGAATCCAACAAGCCACGGAAACGGAAACCGAACCCAACAGGCCACGGAAACTGAAACCGACCCTACAAGCCACGGAAACCGAAACCGAACCTAAAAAAGCACGGAAGCCGAAGCCGAACCCAACAGACTACGGAAACAGAAACCGAACCCGACAAACCACGGAAACGGAAACCGAACCCAACAAGCAGGACACGGAAAGGGAAACCGAACCCCACAATCCATGGAAACAGAAACAAAATCCAACAAGCCACGGAATCGAAACCCGAACCCAACAAGCCACAGAAACGGAAACCGAACCCTACAAACCACGAAAACGGAAACCGAACCCAACAAACCACGGGAACGGAAACCGAACCCAACAGGCCTCGGAAACGGACACCAAACCCAACAGGCTACAGAAACGGAAACCGAACCCAACAAGCCACGGAAATGGAAACCGAACCACACAAACCACGGAAACAGAAACAAAATCCAACAAGCCACGGAAACGGAAACCGAACCCAACAGGCCACGGAAACGGAAACCGAACCCAACAAGCCACGGAAACCGAAACCGAACACAAAAAAAACGGAAGCGGAAGCCGAGCTACGGAAACCGAAACCGAACCCAAAAAAACACGGAAGCGGAAACCGAACCCAACAGGCCACGGAAACGGAAACCGAACCCTACAAACCACGAAAACGGAAACCGAACCCAACAAGCCACGGGAACGGAAACCGAACCCAACAGGCCACGGAAACGGACACCAAACCCAACAGGCTACAGAAACGGAAACCGAACCCAACAAGCCACGGAAATGGAAACCGAACCCCACAAACCACGGAAATGGAAACCGAACCCCACAGACCACGGAAACAGAAACGGTCGAAAGGAAGATTTTTAACTGTACAAATTGGTAGTATGGTTGAGAAGTTTTGAATCGAGATTTCAAACATCGTACTGTGGAAAACAAACTTGAAGGTTTGAAACCTCGACTTGCAATGTTTCAACTCGTGATTCCAATATGTTTGATAAGTCGGCTCGGCCCTCCAGCTGCAAATGGGACGATCCCGGCACCTCAGAACGCCCTTGGCGAGGCGCAGCCGCTGAAGGCACCGAGGCTGGAAAACCGCTGAGAAACGATGAAAACGCCTGAAAACCTCGAACTGAACATTCCTCCCTGATCCTATCCCTCACGTAGTGACCGAAACTGTGCCCGAAGTTTTCCGACCGCTCCCGAGAGTGATCGAAACGTCTGGTTCGAAAACAATGCGATTTTCGACTTCGGTCACAACTCTGGTCACACTGCTTTTTCGGTCAAAATTCTGGACACGCATTCGCTCACATGTCTTTTTCGGTCTGGGCTGATAGGAGCTGAACGCCATGATATCCCCCCCTGTCCTTGGGGATCGATGCATCCCCCCTGAGCCCATGACGAAGCCATGACGGGGATAAAATCGGGTGAGGATAAATCGAGAATTTCTGAAATCCGGCGGCTCTGGAAAATGTATCGGGCGTCGCGGCCTTCTCAGAGCACTCGGGAACGCTCTGGGTGAGGGTGGGTCAAGAATCTCTGAGATCCGGCGGCTCGGGAAGATGTAGCGGACGGGATTACCCTCGTCCTGGTCCCGTCCCAAACTCCCCCACGGTACCGCTGCCACCGACAGCCACGCCCAGCCGCGCCGAGGCTTCGGGCACTGGCGGCAGCGCCAGGCCAGACGCCTCCGCCTACTTGGTGCCCTGCCGCAGCTCCCTCAGGAGCACCTGGCGGGGCTGCGAGCATCGGGCGACCGACCCCTGATGGGCCGAGTTTCCGCCGTCACTACCATAGGAGAGGGAGGAGGAGGAGGAGGAGGAGGAGGAGGAGGAGGAGGAGGAGGAAGGGGAGGCGGAGGCGGAAGAGGAGGAGGAGGCGGAGGAGGAGAGGAGCCACCGTCCTGCCTTTGGTGGTGGCGGTGGTGGAAAGTCGGCCCATCAATCCCTATCCCAACTGGCGTGGCATTGGCCGCACTCTAGCCGACTTGCCCACCTACGTGGGGATATTTGATCCACGGTCTGAGCCCTCCCCCACATGCTGATTCCATCGGTGACCCCCCCTCGCGAGATGGGCCCCCCCGCTGTGGGTGTGGTGGTGGTGGTGGTGGTGGTGGTGGTGGTGGTGGTGGTGGTGGTGGTGGTGGTGGTGGTGGTGGTGGTGGTGGTGGTGGTGTGGTGGTGGTGGTGGTGCGGCGGCCGGGGCGGCGGCGGCGGCGGTGGTGGTGGTGGCGGTGGTGGTGGTGCTGGTGGTGCTGCTGCTGCTTGCTGCTGCTGCTGCTGCTGCTTCTGCTGCTGCTGGTGCTGGTGCTGGTGCTGGTGGTGGTGGTGGTGCTGGTGGTGGTGTAGTGGTGGTGGTGGTGGTGGTGGTGATTGTGGTGGTGGTGGTGGTGTTGGTGGTGGTGGGTGGTGGTGGTGGTGGTGGCGGTGGCGGTGGTGGTTTTGGTGGTAGCGGCAGTGGTGGTGGTGGTAGTTGGTGGTGGGTGGTGGGTGGTGGTGGTGACGGTGGTGGTGGTGCTGGTGGTGGTGCTGGTGCTGGTGGTTGTGGTGGTGGTCGTGGTGGTGGGTGGCGGTGGGCGGTGGGTGGTGGGTTGTGGGTGGTGGGTGGTGGGTGGTGGGTAAGGGGTGGTGGGTGGTGGCTGGTGGGTGGTGGGTGGTGGGCGGTGGGCGGTGGGTGGTGGGTTGTGGGTGGTGGGTGGTGGGTGGTGGGTGGTGGGTGGTGGTGGCGGTGGTGGTGGTGGTGGTGGTGGCGGGTGGTGCGAAGGAACATGCATAAATGATCCAGGGCTTCAGCCCCACCCTCCAATGCTAATGGGATCGCCCCGGATACCCTTAGGTCGTGGCCCTGCGGGCGTGGCGTGGTCGTCGTTGGTGGTGGTGGTGGTGGTGGACGTCGTCGTCGTCAACGCCGTCGCCCCCACTCCCCATCCCATCAGGGGGGGGCCTGAGAACCCTGGGACCCATTTCATCTGGGGTGGGGGCCTGGGAGCCCTCGACACTGGACCATACATCTATATACATATACATACATACATATATATATATATATATATATATATATATGAATATATAGATGATCCTGGGCTCTGGGCCCACGGGCCCCCCCCCCCCAAGGTGGGATGGGTCTCAGGGTCCCTCGGGCCCCCACCCAGATGGGACTGGGGAGGCAGACGACGACGACGACGACGACGACGACGACGACGACGACGACGCCGCCGCCGCCGCCGCCGCCGCCGCCGACGACGACCATGACGACGACGACACCGTCCGCTCCGTTCCGTCCCATCTAGTGTAGCAGTTCTACGCCATGCTTGTGACGGCGGTGCATGTGCCGATGCGATGCCGATGCCGACGCTGATGTGGTCGTCGTCGCTCTCCTCATCTTTCTCCTCCTCCTCCTCCTACTTCGGAGGGGCCAACCACCACCACCACCATCATCATCATCATCATCATCACCACCACCACCACCACCACCACCACCACCACCATCATCATCATCATCATCATCATCATCATCATCATCATCATCAGCATCATCCTCCCTCCTCCTCCTCCTCCTCCTCCTCCTCCTCCTCCTCCTCCTCCTCCTCCTGGTCCTCCTCATCCTCCTCCTCATCATCATCGTCAGCATCATCATCATCATCATCATCAGCATCATCAGCATCACCATCATCATCATACACCACCGTCATCATTGCCACCACCGCCACCACCCACCACCGCCACCACCAACCACCCACCACCACCACCACACACCCCACCCACCACCACCACCCACCACCACCCACCACCCACCAGTACCCACCCCACCACCCACCACACACCACCCACCACCCACCACCCACCACCCACAACCCACTACCCACCACCCACCACCCACCACCCATCACCCATCACCCGTCACCCACCACCCACCACCACCACCACCCACCACCCACCACCCACCACCCCCACCCACCACCCACCGACACCACCCCCGAACACCGACCACACCCACCCAACACCCACCACCAACCACCGCCCACAAACCCCCGCCCACCGCGACCAACCCACCACCCACCCACAACCCACCACCCACCACCACCACCACCCCACACCCTCCCTCCCCCCCACCACACCACTCACCACCCACCACCCACCACCACCCACCGCCCACCGCCACCACCCACCACGCACCACCCACCACCACCACCCACGACCCCACCACCCACCACCCACACCACCACCCCCCACGACCACCACCACCACCACCACACCCACCACCACCACCACCACAACCCACCACCACCACCACCCACCACCACCACCACCGGTTTCGCGAGGTGGTGAGGCTGAGATACTATGGCCCAACGGGGATGGTGATAGGTAAGACGACATTGAGTCCGAGCTGGATCGAATTGCGAAATCGAATCGGATCGGACACGCATCGGATCGCCAATGAATCCCGAATCGGGTCGAACTAGCATCGCCGCGCGAGGCTCTAGCCGGCCCCAGCCGATGCGCATCGTTTCACCGATACCCGTCCCCACTGGCATGGCCTTGGCCCCACTGGCCAAGTATCACCCTACATCCTAGATGGGGATATAGGCCGTTCCCTTCGGGTTTCGAGGGGCATATCCCCAACTGGGGGGCTGCGATACCCTGGCCCGCTGGATGGGGATTGGTTTAACGATACTGAGCCAATGCCATTGAGTCGCACCGAAACGATCCGAACTGTCATAGCGAGCCCAACCCGCGAGTCGAAGCAGAACGCAAGCGGCCTTGCCTGGCGATCCGTCATGCCGAGCATCTCCTGGCGCGTGACGCCGGACTCCTGGCTGGCCGAGCAACACCAGGGGGGGAGAGGGCCACGACGCCGACGAGGCGAGAACGAGGGGGACCAAAGGCGCCCGCGACCTCCTCCTCCTCCTCCTCCTCCTCCTCCTCCTCCTCCTCCTCTCCTCCTCTCCTCCTCCTCTCCTCCTCCTCCTCCTCCTCTTCTGCTCCTCTCCTCCTCCTCCTCCCTCCTCCCCTCCTCCTCCTCCTCCTCCTCCTCCTCCTCCTCCTCCACCTCGTGCTCCCTCCTCCTCCTCCACCTCCTCGCGCCCCTCCTCCCCGCCGCGCTCGACGAGGAGGATGGACGAGGAGCGGGAGGAAGCATGCGTGGCACTGGTGGCGCCCGCCTGCTGCGGTGCACAAACGGGCACCGCAAAATGGGGTGGCCTCGTCGGACCCACCCGCCCGCAAAGACTCGAAGGCCCTGGCCCGCCCACCGCGGAGGATCGCGGCGGCAGCAGGACAGGGAGAGCTCGGAAAACGTCAGTTTCGACCCCAGGAGGGGTCCGGGGGCCGATTTTGACTGGATTTGCCCTGCCCCTTATCCCCCCCTCTTGACCAGAATTTCTCGGAGCCCATCCAGCGCAGACCTCCCAGCCGCCTCCAACAGGAGGAGGAGGAGGAGGAGGAGGAGGAAGAAGAGGACGATGACTGGGAGAAAGAGGAGCAGCGGCGTCCGAGCAAGAGCCAGAAGCGCGCGCAGGCCTTGACCCTCGAACCCAGAGGGGTAGCGATCCTGCTGCATACCCAGGTGGGGCAGGGAGGGGGTCGAGGCCTTGGGGGGCGTTGAAAAAAAAAGGAAACGAAACGGCGGCGGCGGCGGCGGCACCGACGACGACGACGACGACGACGACGACGACGACGACGGCGGCGAAGGCGGCGGCGGCGGCGAAGGAGAAGGCGAACGCGAAGGCGAAGGCGGCGAAGGCGAAGGCGACGACGAAGACGAAGACGAAGACGGCGGATGCGGCGGCGGCGGCGAAGGCGAAGGCGGTGAAGGCGAAGGCGAAGGCGATGGCGGCGGCGGCGGCGGCGGCGGCGACGGCAAAGGCGACGACGACGACGACGGCGACGACGACGACGACGACGACGATCCCCAGAGGAGGCGAGCTCCTTGGAGCCCTGGAACACGGTCGGGGGCGGCAGCCCGCCCTCCCAGACCCAGCGGATGTACTCCTCCGAGTCGACGAAGCCCATCTCGAGGACCTGCCCGTCGTCGTCGTCGTCGTCGTCGTCGTCGTCGTCGTCGCCGTCGTCGTCGTCGTCGTCGTCGTCGTCGTCGCCGTCGCCGTCGCCGTCGTCGTCGTCGCCGTCGTCGTCGCCGTCGCCGTCGCCGTCGCCGTCGCCGTCGCAGTCGCGTCGCCGTCGCCGTCGCCGTCGCCGTCGCCGTCGCCGTCGCCGTCGCCGTCGCCGTCGCCGTCGCCGTCGCCGTCGCCGTCGCCGTCGCCGTCGCCGTCGCCGTCGCAGTCGCAGTCGCCGTCGCCGTCGCCGTCGCCGTCGCCGTCGCCGTCGCCGTCGCCGTCGCCGTCGCCGTCGCCGTCGCCGTCACCGTCGTCGATGGTCGATTTCGCCGTCGCAATCGTCGTCGTCGTCGTCGTCGAGGACCTGCCAGTCGTCGTCGCCGTCGTCGCTTTCGTCGTCGCCGTCGCCACCGCCGTCGTCGTCCCACACTTCCAATGCACCAGATCTCCAAACCTCCATCCAACGTATTGAAAGGTTCAACACTGAGGATTTTCGCCATTTTTCACCTCTGAGGGTCCTCACTGGGCCCCGTTACAAAAATCCGCCGATCCAGTCGGCGTGTGTGGGGTGTCTGTCCGGTTCTGGGAGATAGAGAGCTGGACCCTGATCTCTCCCGTTTGGGCAGAAAAAAAGAAAGAGAGAGAGAGAGAGAGACAGAGAGAGAGAGAGAGCACCCGAGAGCACCCTTCCATGTTCGGGGAACGGGTTCGTCGCTAGAGGGAGTTCCATCCACGTCCCCATTACGCCAAAGGGAAGCCCCTTCCCTTTGTCCCTTCCCCGGCGGGGGGCGGGGGGCCCGAGGGGGCTGGGTCAAATTCGCATCTCCCGTTTGCGACTTTTACAGAGGGGCCCTCTGTAGATGCGCTGGAGGAGGGGGAAGTCGCCACGACGGATCCGCATGAGCGCCCCTAGACGGCCCAAGCCCCACAAGACAGCCCAAGAACGCCTAAGGACGGCAAAAGGGGCCTCCCAGATGGCCAAAGGACGCCGCCCAGACACGTTTCCCCCTCGTGCGCCCCCGTTTTCCCGTCGAGCGCCCCCGTGCGAAGGGTGCGCCGAAATCGGTGACGCGGACGCATCTGGACACCGCCACTGGGGCATTTGGTGAAGCTCCCTATGGGGCCACGAAACGCTGTCCTGGGTGGCGTTGACGCATGCTGACCCTGCCACAGGAGCCTTCTGTGGAGCTCCCTATCGGGCCACGAAACGCTGTCCTGGGTGGCATTGACGCGTGCGGACCCTGCCACTGGAGCCTTCTGTGGAGCTCCCTATGGGGCCACGAAACGCTGCCCTGGGTGGCGTTGACGCATGCGGCGTGTGCCACTGGAGCCTTCGGTGGAGCCCCCTATGGGGCCACGAAACACTGTCCTGGGTGGCGTTGACGCATGCGGCCTGTGCCACTGGAGCCTTCGGTGGAGCCCCCTATGGGGCCACGAAACGCTGCATTGGGTGGCATTGACGCATGCGGCCTGTGCCACTGGAGCCTTCGGTGGAGCTCCCTATGGGGCCACGAAACGCTGTTCTGGGTGGTGTTGACGCATGCGGCCTGTGCCACTGGAGCCTTCGGTGGAGCTCCCTATGGGGCCACGAAAACGTGCGAGGGGTGTGCCGAAATGATGGACATGCGGAGAGCAGAGGCATGGATGGGAGGACCGGGCGGGGGCAGCGGGAAGAGGTGAGACGCAGGGCGCCATCTCCTCAAAACGAGGACCCAACACGACAGGATGGTTGGGAAAAAATGTAAGGGTTTCACGGTTGGGAAGCTGTTGCTTTTCAACATGTGGCTCTCGCCCTCGCGCCGCGCCCGCTCGTCTCAAAGAACCCAAGGGCTCCGCGGATGGAGGGTGGTTCCGTGTCAACATGTGGCTCTGGGCTTTGCGCCCCGCCCATTTGTCTTTACAAAAAATGCAAGGGCTTCGCGAATGGAGGGCGGTTCATTTCCAGTATGTGGCTCTCGTCTCAGCGCCGCGCACATTTGATTTTTTCTCCGAAATTACAACAGTGTCGAGGATGTTCATGGCTAACGTCCCAGAAATGGCGCGTTGGCACGATGTCGGATTGTCAGGCCGCAACAGTTACGTTGATTCGCGGTGTTGAAATCCCAGGAACGGTGTTCTGGCACCTCTCAGGATCGTCAAGACGCAACAGTAACGGTGAGTCGCGGCGTTGAAGTCCCTGAAATGGTAGTCGGGCACAGTTCAGAACTTTCAAACGGTTGTCTTCCAGCGGTGCACGGCCCTCAGTGAAAATGAACTTGAACGGAGAATGTATTTCAATAACGTTGATGAGTCTTGGGTTTACACTGGTCATCCACCTCCTCCTCCTCCTCCTCCGCGTCGTCTTCTTCTTCGTCTGATTGTTTCCCAGTAGTAAGATTATTCATATTATTACAATGAGTCGCATTATGCGTCTGATTATGTTTCTTCGCATTCGCCTTCTTAGCATCATCCTTACTTTTCTTCATGATAGCATTGCTATTATCATTCCTATTCCTCCTCCTCCTCCTCCTCCTCCTCCTCCTCCTCCTCCTCCTCCTCCTCCTCCTCCTCCTCCTCTGGCTCCTTCTCCGTCCTCCCCTTCTCGGGGCATGACGGCTTCCCAGCCTTTATTCCACTGCGTGCTCCCCCACGCTTGATTGGGGCAACTCGCCTGAGCATCGTGTCTGGATGGGCTGGTGGGGTGACGAGAAGCGTCTACGATACCTTTGTTCGAGTCTCGTTTGGGTCGCTCAGGTGCAATGCTGCTACATCGTAGTCGCAGTGATCGGGGCTCTGGCAATAGACTCGTCGACTGGTGCAAAACGGACATTTTGCCTGAGAGGTTCCCTCGAACTGAAAGCGAAACGGCTCAGAAACAGCCCTGGTCGACACCACCTTGGGCGAGCCAGATCGCACACCTGCTACATCGCGGTGACCGTGGGGTTCGGAGAGGACTCGCCGTCCGGGCCAAGACAGGTGCTGGAATGCGACCCCTGCTCGACATCTCGCCGGATGGCTCGCATGCAGTGCCTGCTGCATCGCGGCGGACATGGGGCTCTGAAGAGGGTGCTCAGCAATCTTACCCCCCAGGCAGTGATTGCACCTGGGGGCTCTTCCCTCTCCTCCAAAGATGAAGGGGCCCTGGAACACAGAAACAAATGCATGCAAATAACAGGATTCCCCCTCTTTTCCTATATCTTCTGGGGTTGTGTCTCGCGTGTTTTGCTTTGCACTGCGTTGCGTTCCGTTGCATCACTTTGCATTGATTTGCATTGCTACGCGTTGCTGTGCGCCACATAGATTGCACCACATGGATTGCACCACCAAGATTGCACCACCTAGTGTGCACCTCATAGACTGCAAGAAAACATTGTTTTGGGGCCCACGATGGCTAGCATGGCATCCTGAGGTATCCTCGGGGTTCCCGAGGAATCATGTGGGATCCTGAGGAAACCGAACGGATCCGAAGGAATCCTCGGAATCCTGAGGAATGCGGAGGAATCCTTTGAAATCCATGAAAATCCCGAGAGATCCTGAGGACGCCTACAGAATCGAAAGGAATTCGAAAGGGATCACCAGGAAAGCTCCAGAATCCAAAGATATCCTCTGGAGTCTGGAGGGGTCCTTGGAAATCCTGAGGACTGTTGCGGAATCCTATGGAATCGTTGGGAACCCTTCTTGGAACCCCTGGAAATGCCTTCTGGAATTCTTCGACATCCCTGCGATCCTGCGAAATCATCATCAGAATCAGAAACAGAAGGCGGGGTGTCACCGCAGGGAGCGTGCACTGAAAACACTCCACGCTGAGATCAGGCAATGCGGAAAAAAATTCAAGCCTGGCGCGGACCACGTCCGCGGAGGGGAAGAGGGAGCTGGGGTGAACCACAGCGTACGAGCCAGGCAGCATACAGTCGGGGCCTTGACCTAAGGAACCCTGAATAAGGAACGAGGCCCCTATTTTCCATAAGTTGAACGTCGACTTCGTATCGAAAACCTGAGGAAAATCCAGGGCAAGCTGCGAAACAATGAAGCAACACGGAGCCCCTCCCCAACGAACAGGGTTCCTTCTTCAGGGCCCCGACTGTATGCTCCAACGCAGCTCAAGCGCCATCGTGCCACCGCTGCCGTCCAGAGCGAACCGAGCGCCACTGCTGTCCTGAGGGCTCCGCAGGATCCTCGCACGCCGCGGCCCCGCTCGCCGGCCGCCCCGCGAGGAGCGAAGGACGCCGCCGCCGCCGTCGTGGTCGTCGTCTCGGTCACCCTCAGAACGTGCGTTGGCGCCCACGTGCGCTTGTCCACCGAAGCCCTCGAATGCGGGGATGGACAGGCCTCCCTGTTGCAAAACGTGGCTTGGTGAAGACGACCCGAGGCCCGAAAACTGGCGGGCGCAAGCCAGGAAAATGGCGGCCACGGCGCCACCTCGAGAACCGAAGACGGACAATCCACCAATCGACGTGTCTCTGTTGGGGGCTCTGTCCACCCCCGACCAATGCGGTGCATGCAGCGCAGTCAGTGAGGGCCAGAGCGGGCCGCGCGCCATCGGAGTCCGGAGCAAGAGACGGGGCAGACACGCGCGGGTCGTGCACACGCCCCGAGGATCACCGGCCGCCCTCGTCCTCGAGACCATCGCTCGAGGCCCAGGGCGGCCACTGTCCCAGTGGCCGCTCGCAGGGGCAGCCTGGAGAGGCCCACGGGCGGCCCCTTCCCCGGGACGTGTCCCCCGACAGGCGGACTTTGGGCGAAACCTCCAAAAGTGCTCACCAGATGCTCAAAGATGGTCAAAAAGGGTCGAACCATCGTTCCCAGACTATCTTTTGCCTGGCTCTGCATGTGCCTCCTGCAGAGAGGGACAGGCCCGACTTGAGCCAAGACCAGGATGCCCAGCAGGCCGAAAGCCTGAGTCGTCGTCTCCGCTGCTGCCGCCGTGGTCGTCGTCGCCGCCGAGCCGACACCACACGAACCCGCTGCATGCCCGGGTCGACACCGCCGGGGGCCCCCCGGACCTCCACGCCGCCCTTCACGGACTTGCGGAGTTGCTGGATTCCAGGATCCTCCCGGCGGGAGGCCAGCTCGAGAGCCATCGACGACGACGACGACGACGACGACGACGACGACGACGTCGGTCGGTCGGTCGGTCGGTCGGTCCGTCGGTCGGTCCCTCGGTCGGTCGCTCGGTCGGTCCGTCGGTCGGTCCGTCGGTCCGTCGGTCGGTCGGCGTCGCGGCTCTGGCAGCCAGAGCGGCCCCCTCAGGGGCAGGCGATGCCGTGCGTCGAAAGGGAAAAGCTTCAGCCGAGTCAGGGGCCGCCAGCTGCAAACCTGCACCGGTTCTGGCCAAGCCCATCCCGAGTCAAGAATCGGCACGTGCGCCCTCATGACCAGGCCAGGAGGCCATATACGCCGATCCTGGGCAGTTGTACACTGACGTGTAGATGCATGCAGCTCATGACTCACGCCATGGACGTATTGGCTCTAACCTGTCAGGCGCCTTGCGCCTAAGGGGGAAAGCTAACCACCTTCTCTGCCGTGCGCGCGAGGCAGCAGCGGGAGTTGGGTGTCTGGGCCCCCAGCGGGGAGGGGCCCAGAGAACTTGGCATCGCTCGGACGTGTGCATTTTTCCTCGGCGAGGATCATGGAGCACAAAAACCTAGGAAGTCGAGAAAACGCACGAAGTCGAGAAACCCACGGGGAATGGACGGCGAGGCAGCATCGGCATCATGACAGTGACGATGCGGGGCTCGGAGGCTTCCCCAGAGGCCTCGCCGGGTCTGATCTGGTGCCGAGGGGGGTGTTTCCTTTCTTGGGTTCGGCGTCCGAGGGGCCGCTCTCAGCCCCCAGTGGGACCCGCAAGTAGGCGTCCCGCGGCACAACCCCAGTCAGGGGCCTTCTCCCTTCCGAAGCCACTCAAAGCAGTTCTGAACAAAAAGCCACGCAATGCAACGCATTGCTTGGCACTGCCTGGCATCACTTGGCATTGCACGGGCAACCCCACGCAACCGAGGAGGAGGAGGAGGAGGAGGAGGAGGAGGAGGAAGAAGAAGAAGAAGATAGAAGAAGAAGAAGGAAGAAGCAGAAGAAGAAGAAGAAGGAAGAAGAGGAGGAGAGGGAGAGGAGGAGGAGGAGGAGGAGGAGATTAGAGCAAAGAGGAGGAGAGGGAGAAGGAGGAGGGAGGAGGAGAGGAGGAGGAGCGGAGTAGGAGGAGGCGGAGGAGGAAGAGGAGGAGGACGGAGGTGAGGAGGATGATGAGGAGGAGGAGGAGGAGGAGGAGGAGAGGGAGGAGAAGGATGAGGGGAAGAAGAAGGACATGGAGGAAGAGGAGTAGAAGAGAGGAGGAGGAGATGGAGGAGGAGGAGGAGGGAAAGAGGAAGAGGAGAGGGAGGCGGAGGAGGAGGAGGACGAGAAGGAGGAGGGAGGAGGAGGAGGCGGAAAAAAAGGCGGCGAGGGAAAGGAAGGAGAGGAGAGGAGGAAGGGGAAGGAGGAAGGGGAGGAGGAGGAGGAGGAGGAGGAGCCCCTGCAACGCCGACGGAGGAAGGGCCCCGCGCCACCAGTGTTTCTTCCAGCAGCGAGCAAGCAAAGCAAAAGCCCCAATATAGGCAGAGCCAGACCCGGGGAGAAAGGCGCCCCGCACGGACCCGGGCGGGGACCGAGGCCCCTGGGCGTCCACGCCGTGGCGGAGGAGGAAGGGGGAGGAGGAGGAGGAGGAGGAGGAGGAGGAAGAGGAGGAAGAGGAGGAGGAGGAGGAGGAGGAGGAGAGGAGGAGGAGGAGGAGGAGGAGGAGGAAGGAGGAGGGAGGAGGAGGGGGAGGAGGAGGAGTGAGGAGGAGGAGGGGGAGGAGGAGGGGGAGGAGGAGGAGGAGGAGGAGGCGAGAGAGGGAGGGAGGGAGGGAGGCGAGGGAGGGAGGGAGGGGCGGGGGGAGGGAGGGAGGGATGGGAGGGAGGGATGGGAGGGAGGTAAGGGAGGAGGAGGAGGAGGCGGAGGAGGAGGAGGGGGAGGAGGAGGAGGAGGAGGAGGAGGGAGGGAGGGGAGGAGGAGGAGCAGGAGCGAGGCGGATGAGATGAGGAGGAGGAGGAGGAGGAGGAGGAGGAGGAGGAGATGGAGGAAGAGGAAGAGAGGAAGAGGAAGAGGAAGGGGAAGAGGAAGAGAAGGAGGAGGAGGACCAGCGCACTGCTTAGGATGATGTCTGTGATCCACCGCGCCCCAGCGCGGAGACAGAGGCCTGGGCCTCCGAGCTCTTCAGGGGATAGAGACAGCCCCCGCAGCAGAGCTTGATGCTGCTGCCAGATCCCTGAGAGTCTGGCGGTAAAATTGGGCCAGGGGGACAGGGGGTTTGAAAACCACAGGTGAATTCTTCCCCCCTTTCGGGTGTCTGAGTCTGAGAACCTTAGAGAGACGGTCGGCGGCACCTGTACTCTGTGGCCCTCGACGTAAACACTCCGAATTGAGTCCCCTGCCTTGCTCCATATAAGAGCCGCAATCTTTACAGATAATGAGGGTGGACGAATTGTCTACGTATTCTAGCCATAGGAGATTATGCCTTTTCGGGTCCTGGGCCAGCTTAGCCATAGCAGCACAGTACCCTGGGCACTTCTCATCCTGACGGGCTATCTGGTGTTGGCTGGACTTCGCCGTCACTCGGCAAACGGTGCATAACCATTTACCCCTTATATATTCCCAGTTATGAGTCGCGTCCGCTGCCTCCAACACAGCCACAGGCGGCGGAGGAGGGGGCGAGGGAGGCGGAGGGGCGGCCCCAGGGTCCCAGACGTGAGGAGCGGACGCGGCTCCTATGGGGGGGTTGGAACTCGTGGGAGCCTCGAGGCCCTTCTTGCCTCTCTTAGGAGCCAAGGCGGGCCACTTGGGGAGGATTCTAGCCAGATAACGCAAAAATCTGCCGAGCAAACGGGTTTGAAACGCATGGGATTCAACCTCGGACCTGCTGGGCTGGGCCATCTTCTGGGCCGCCTGCTTAGCTGCCTTGTCGGCAGCGTCGTTCCCGAGGGCGTGGGTCCTTTCTTCTGGGGAGGAAAACTCGGCTTCGAGAGACTGGTGGCCTTTGACTTTACATATACAACTGCTAGGGCGGACGCAGCACGCGCCTGCCAAGACCTTGAAGCCGCTCATGGTAGACCTGCGAGAGAAACGATGGGCCAGATGGAGGTCTATGGCGGCTTTATAATCGGTGTGCACATGGGTGATCAACGGCGAGGCATGGCAAGCTAAAAGAATCGCTAACTGCTCTGCAGCTCCTGAAGTCTGTCGAAACTGCTGCCCCACCTGGCCTGTGAGGATGGCGAAAGGTTCGTCTTCTCGCAGGGCAACAACAGAGAATCCAGCCGCTCTGTAGGCTGGGTGGAGGGAATTGTCGCAACTGCCGTCAGTGTAGACTTGGCCCTCGAAGGCCTCTTGCAGAGACAAAACAGGGTCCCTGCACCAAAATTCAACATCTTCTATCCCAAGGCCAGGCCTGGCTCCCACGGAAAACTCAGGGTCCCGCTGGAAACCAAAACGCAACAAGGGCTCATCGCTGCTCGACTGCAGCAGTTCTAGCTCATGAGGACTGAAGCATTCTTCACGCTCATTCCTGGTCAAATCACAGCCGAAAACACGGTGCTTGATATCGTCAGACACAGCACCGCAGAGGCAGGCGGGGTCGACAGGGTAGCCTGCATCCTTGGCTCGAGCTTTAGTCCAGCAGCCTTGGGTGAGAAACGTCAAGAGACACCCTCTCTCTTGCTTCGACAGCGAGGGATCTTTCAAAGCGGCGAGGGCAACTATAGGGTCTAGCCTAGCACCTGGAGCACCAAGCTTGCTCGCGGCCTTCTCTCTCAAAATGTCTAGCCAGTCGTCCTGCATGATCTGCTGTACAAACGCAGGAGAGTAGCTGGTCATGGGGTAATGCAGGCCGCTGCGAGAAACAAAAACGAGAGGGGAGGCCAGACTCCACCCAATTCGTTTGAGAGACAGGATCATGGCCCCGAAGGGGCCTCGCACGGCCGCCCACCTCTGGGGCGTGGAGCCTAAAAGGCTCTCCCCGCGGGCCCTGAGAGCTCTCAGCGAGGCCAGCGCTTGACTCGAATTGGTGGCGGCACTCCACACGAGCATGTGCCACAGCATGGCGGGTCCAAGGGCAAGCTTCCAGGTGGGGTCACCCACTAGGATTAAGCTTAAAGTCCTGCTTCTAGTGGCGCATTTGGGCCCCGCTAGCTTTAAATATTGTTGCTGGGCAATAGCTAGTTGCGAATTATTAAGGCCCGTCACTTCATGTCCAAAAGACGTTGCTGCAAAGATCCCCGTGTTGTAAACCTTCCTCGTGTCTCCACCTCCTTTCTGAATAGCTCCAAGCCTCCTCATCCTTCTCTTGATCTGCTCCATCCTCGTCCTGGTCAACCTGTTCGTTCTCCATCGGCATTGGGGGGCTCCTGCGGCGGTTTCCACTCCAAGATTCGGGGCAGAGATGTCCAAGTTGGAGCCTGCACGATCCTTAAGCTTTTTCCTCAAGAGAGACCTGAGCTTCGGGGTCGAGGCAACCATCTGCGTCTTGGCTGGCGATATGCTGCAATCCAAATCCTGCTTGATACTGGCGAGCAAACGGCGAGTGCCCAAGTCGAGGCTGCTGACCACGACCTTGGGCTTCTGGCTGTGAGACTTCAAAAGGAGGTCATCAATGAACATGAAGAGGTCGAGGGAGGGATTCTGGTGGGTCCAGGAGTCCAGGGGTTCCAGGGTGTACATCTGGATGAGATAAGTAGCAAACCCACACCCTGCAGCTAGACCATACTTAGTACAACCAACGTACACGATCATATCCTGGAGGGCGACGAACCTAGGACTCGAATAAATGCTGATGATTAGCCTTAAGAGGGTAGCTGGGAAACCACTTCTAAGGGCTCGCTTGGCTAACTTGCTTCTATTGACGTGCTCGTAGTAGTTACTGAGGTCATACAGAACCATACCCGACACAAAAGCCTCACTCTTCTTAGAATACGTTTCGCAATCCAGGTTCTGCTTGAAAACGAGCTCGACTATCGAATGACCTGCTTGATGGGCGAGAAAG